CCCCTAAGCTCGGCGCCCGGGGACATATGTCCCCCCCCCCGCCGCCCCCCCCCCCCCCCTCGCTACGCTACTGATCAGTAGAAACTGCCGAGCGAAATTTTGACCAAATCTAACTGACCGATTCGTTCCAAACTTGGTACATGAGTCAAGACCTGATGACAATGCAATCTGACATCGAATTTGACCTAATTAGATGCCTAGTTCTTCTTCTTCGTTCTTAATGTTTGAGTGCTGGAAGAGATTCCCTCCAACACAGTATACGCGTCAACTGGTTATGCGCTATAAAGGTAGTTGACTCCAGTGTTTCTTCCAGACTTTTTTCTCCGGGGGGGCACTTGAAATCTTCGGGGGGGCGGTAAACTTTCTTCGGGGGGGCGGACACTGTTAAAAGTATATATTTTCTATATAAATTATATAAATTTCATTTCGTTCGGGGGGGCGGTAAAAAATTTTCGGGGGGGCTTCGCCCCCCCGAAGAGATGCCTGGAAGAAACTCTGGTTGACTCCGATTTAAGCCCCCTTTTCTTTTTGGATTTGCTTCCATAGCCTTTGTCCAACAAAGAACAAAAAACAAGGCAGTTGTCTCTCCTGGAAAGTTGCCCTAATCTGGCCGTGACTTATCGGTTTAGCAACCATGAGCTTCTACCGACTCGACCACACCGACCCCTAAAGATGCCCAGTTAGTTTTTTTATGAATTTATTAGCTTCCTATATATAATTTTGCGTACATTTGTCGTGTTCTTTTGGTGCACAATTGTTTTTAGGTAAGCTACTTTACTGTTAAAATATGTTTTAAGTACTGAAAAAAAAATTCATTAGAAAAAGTATATAAAACGTTTTAATAACAAGCTTTTATGTAATAATGCAATAAAAAGGAGAAAATAAATGATTATCTATTCTATAAATATATAATAATGAACTACTATTTAAATAACTAAAAAGTAAAGCGTGACTGCTATATTATGTGTTGAATATGTTTACTAGAATTTAAGAAGAAGCGACCTAGACTTTTATTTTTAATTATAATTATATATTTACAGAAAGTCATATTTCTCCTTTTTACTTTCTCGTATATACGAAGTATAGAGAAAGTTTTGTAATCGTGCAAAAAAAAAAATCGAGATTTTTGCAAATCTCGACGTTTTACAGCTCCCTGAGTCGGAAAAAACATAGTTTTGCAATCTTGTCCGTATGTCTCTGTGTGTGTGTGTGTGTGTGTGTGTGTGTGTGTGTGTCTATAAACACGATAACTTGAGTACCGTTACAGCTGGGTTGATGAAATTTTATATATAAGTATTATATCAAGTTTGTAGATCTGTATCAACTTTTCAGCGATTTAAGATAACAGGAAGTGGAACTTTTTCTACTTAGAATTTTTCAAAAGCCCATAACTTGAATTCTATTCCAGATAGATAAATGAAATTTCACATGTAAGTAAAAGATCTAATTTTCTGCCTTCTTTCAAATTTTTAATTATTTCCTTGACCAGAAATAGTAATGTTTGTTATTTCCGATTTCTCAAAAAAACGCATGTGAATTTAAAAAGTACTAATAATATTATTTTTTCTACGAGATTCCATTCTATTTTTAAAAGTTTAAGTATTTAAAATGGAATAAAAATTATGTCTATATCCCGGGTTGCCATCACCTGTTGTTTCATATAAGAATATTCGAGAAAGTTTAGGGGAGATCACTCTCGGTTTGTTAGAGCATTGTAACATATAAGCTTGTTATTATTTTTAATGCATTTTTCGGTACTTTAATTTTTTTTTAATACAATAGAGTTGCATGTCTAAAGACAATAGCGTACCAAATGAGCATGACAATTGTCAGTATAATGGCGTGGTAAAGTAGTACTTTATAAAGGAAATTTCAATTAATTCTTCAAAATTTAATTAAGCATCCCATTACATTAAGTATCAGTGCCATCAGGTCTTAACCTACGTGCCAATTTTCAAAGAAATACGTCGATTAGAAATTGTTGAAATTTCGCTCAGCGATGAAGCAAGCACGAAAAACAGAGGAGCACGTTAAATAAAGCTTTTAAAAACATTTTAATAACAAATGCATCGAAAAGGAGAAAATAAATAAATTTCTTTATATATTAAATAATACACAACTATTTATATAACTGTAAACAAAAGCGTGGGTCACTATATTATCTAGTGAATACCTTTAAAAAAATTGGAAGCGACTCACGCTTTTCTTTACAGTTATTAGGGTATTTACTTTCTCCTTTTACTGCATTATTACATACAAACTTGTTAGTAGAACGTTTTTATCCAATGTTATGACCTATTAAGATTTATAGAGGGAAAAACTAAAACGCTTATGAGCTAACTAGAAAGATTAAAAAAAAAAAAAACAACCAAAAACACCTTTCAATGGTAAAACGGTCACGCTTGAACGCTCAATAGTGAGTCAGCTCACACTGGGCTTGTCATCGATCACTGCCTCACACAAGCCACACACACAAGCCACACACACACACTCCACACACACGCACATGCGCGCACGTTCGCCGTAAGATATTTCTATAGGCACGTTTCTTGTGGACATTTTGAAAACTAGGCTGTTATAACAAGTTCCTAGTGGAGAGAAACTGGGTGGGGGTGGGGGGGGGGGGCGTGTAAGTGTGTTAGAGGGGTAGAGACTGGATGTTAAGGTGCAATGTGGCTTTTATAAAAACATCATTTTTAGTTACACAAAGTATTATACATAACAGCATGACCCTTTATTATTTTTTCGGATGGTAGTAAAAATGTGAATTGACCGGATGGTAGTAAAAATGTGAATTCACCGGATGGTAGTAAAAATGTGAATTCACCGGATGGTAGTAAAAATGTGAATTCCCCGGATAACAGTAAATATGTGAATGGCTCTGATTTATTTTAGTCCTAAAAGTTAGGGTGTGCGCATTTGTGTGTTATCGCATTTGTGTGTGTTATCGCATTTGTGTGTGTTATCGCATTTGTGTGTGTTATCGCATTTGTGTGTGTTATCGCATTTGTGTGTGTTATCGGATTTGTGTGTGTTATCGCATTTGTGTGTGTTATCGCATTTGTGTGTGTAATCGGATTTGTGTGTGTGTGTGTTATCGGATTTGTGTGTGTTATCGGATTTGTGTGTGTGTGTGTTATCGCATTTGTGTGTGTTATCGCATTTGTGTGTGTGTGTGTGTGTTATCGGATTTGTGCGTGTTATCGGATTTGTGTGTTATCGCATTTGTGTGTGTTATCGCATTTGTGTGTGTTATCGGATTTGTGTGTGTGTGTGTTATCGGATTTGTGTGTGTTATCGCATTTGTGTGTGTTATCGCATTTGTGTGTGTTATCGCATTTGTGTGTGTTATCGCATTTGTGTGTGTTATCGCATTTGTGTGTGTGTGTGTGTGTGTTATCGCATTTGTGTGTGTTATCGCATTTGTGTGTGTTATCGGATTTGTGTGTGTTATCGCATTTGTGTGTTATCGCATTTGTGTGTGTGTGTTATCGGATTTGTGTGTGTTATCGCATTTGTGTGTGTGTGTGTGTGTGTGTTATCGGATTTGTGTGTGTTATCGCATGTGTGTGTGTGTGTGTTATCGGATTTGTGTGTGTTATCGGATTAGGAAAAGTGAAAAATTGAGATATTAATAAAAATGGTTTGGATTAGTTCTCGATAGTGATATAAGTGAGACTGGATTAGGATTAGTGTTAGATAGAGATATACGTGCTAGTAGATTAGGATTAGTCTGGTATACATGAGATGGATTGTGATTAGTGGCAGATTAATGCAGTCGTGTAATCAAGTTGTGTGGTGGAGTAGTGTGGTCAAGTTGTGTGGTCCAGTTGTGTGGTCCAGTTGTGTGGTAGAGTTTTGTGGTCCAGTTGTGTGGTCCAGTTGTGTGGTAGAGTTTTGTGGTGGAGTAGTGTGGTCCAATTGTGTGGTCCAGTTGTGTGGTCCAGTTGTGTGGTAGAGTTGTGTGGTCCAGTTGTGTGGTCCAGTTGTGTGGTCCAGTTGTGTGGTAGAGTTTTGTGGTGGAGTAGTGTGGTCCAGTTGTGTGGTCCAGTTGTGTGGTAGAGTTTTGTGGTGGAGTAGTGTGGTCCAATTGTGTGGTCCAGTTGTGTGGTCCAGTTGTGTGGTAGAGTTGTGTGGTCCAGTTGTGTGGTCCAGTTGTGTGGTCCAGTTGTGTGGTCCAGTTGTGTGGTCCAGTTGTGTGGTCCAGTTGTGTGGTCCAGTTGTGTGGTCCAGTTGTGTGGTCCAGTTGTGTGGTCCAGTTGTGTGATGGAGTAGTGTGGTCCAGTTGTGTGGTGGGGTAGTGTGGTCCAGTTGTGTGGTCCAGTTGTGTGGTCCAGTTGTGTGGTCCAGTTGTGTGGTCCAGTTGTGTGGTCCAGTTGTGTGGTCCAGTTGTGTGGTCCAGTTGTGTGGTCCAGTTGTGTGGTCCAGTTGTGTGGTTCAGTTGTGTGGTCCAGTTGTGTGGTTCAGTTGTGTGGTCCAGTTGTGTGGTCCAGTTGTGTGGTCCAGTTGTGTGGTCCAGTTGTGTGGTCCAGTTGTGTGGTCCAGTTGTGTGGTCCAGTTGTGTGGTCCAGTTGTGTGGTCCAGTTGTGTGGTCCAGTTGTGTGGTCCAGTTGTGTGGTCCAGTTGTGTGGTCCAGTTGTGTGGTCCAGTTGTGTGGTCCAGTTGTGTGGTCCAGTTGTGTGATGGAGTAGTGTGTTGGATTAGTGTGGTCCAGTTGTGTGGTCCAGTTGTGTGGTCCAGTTGTGTGGTCCAGTTGTGTGGTCCAGTTGTGTGGTCGAGTTTTGTGGTCCAGTCTTGTGCTACAATGGTTAGGGTTGGATAAAGGAAATCGTGGCATCTAGATAGACGATTTCTAAATTGAACACACATCAATGAGAAATACAAAACTAAACTTGAACTGACAAAGAATTTGCTTAAGCCTAGATCTACAACTTGCATGAAGTCTACAGTTCTAAGCTTATGAAATATTGTTGACAGTAAAACATGTATCTTTTACTTACTTGTTAGGCAGTTGGTTCACTCGCCACACAAAACTAGACCGTGTGGAAATATAGGTTTATCTACCCACGTTTTAGACCATCAAAACAGTTCATGTTTTTCTTCCAAGAGTTTTCGCTCTTGGCCATTTGAAACCCAGCAACGGAGTGCGTGGTTTGTTGACGTGTAGGCGAGCGTGTGTAGTGCGTGCAGACCGACTCAGCCGAGTCGCTTGCGGTGGAAAATTACCGCTCGCTTAGTTCGTTTTATAAAAGCTTATATATGTTTTGATTTATATGTATGTAGAGAATATATGAATGTGTATAAGTTTGTAGTGGGGCGGAATAATCATAATCCTACATATACATATAATATATATATATTACGTATTTGTATATATATGTATGAGTATATATATATATATATATATATATATATATATATATATATATATATATATATATATATATATATGTATAAATATGTTATTCTACGTCTATATCTAATATACATATATATACATATACATATATATACATTATATATATATATAATATATATATTACGTATTTGTATATATATGTATGAGTATATATATATATATATATATATATATATATATATATATATATATATATATATATATATGTATAAATATGTTATTCTACGTCTATATCTAATATACATATATATACATATACATATATATACATTATATATATATACATATACATTTATATACATTATATATGTATATATATATATATATATATATATATATATATATATATATATATATATATATATATATATATATATATATATATATCCATATATTAATATATTACCATATATACACGCAGCAAACCCATCGATGTTGAACTCTGTAATGTAATTTAGCGGACAGAAAAAGAACGGCACTAAACCAAATACAATTAGTTATTTTAAAATTCTCGTAAATTTTACAAAATAAGATATTGTAAAGAATTAATGGAAAATGATAATAAAATAGATATAAAAAACCGCACCCTAACGCCCATGACATAATGAACCACAAACTAAACCCCACACCACCCGTCCCACACTTCGGCTCTCGCCCTCCCCTTGCCAACACTTCACACACCACACAGCATAACCCAAATCTCACCCAGTGCCGGCGCCAGGTTATTTAGCGCCCTAGGCAAAACTTATTAAAACGCCCCCCCCCCACCGGGTAATATTTTTTCGGACCACCTTATTTTATATATACATATATATATATATATATATATATATATATATATATATATATATATATATATATATATATATATATATATATATATATATATATATATATATATATATATATATATATATATTAGAAGACAGTCTCACTAAATTCTAATTTAAATCATTTGATTGCAAAGTATATCCATCACGAGACCACAACCCACCCAGAGATTGGCTCGAACTCATTTCTTGGTTTGAATAATCGTTTTAAAATTTCTTTCGGACAAAAACTATCAATCATGGAAACTTGATATGTGTAATGGTTTCCTGCGTTCTTTTTTTTTTTTTTCATTTATTCTATTAATTTGGAATTAATTCCTTTTTAGTCATTTTTAGTTTTAATTCGCTTAGTAAAAAAATATTTTAATTAGTTTTATCGGCACCCCGAATCGACTATTTAAAGGAGAGAATTAGTCATGGTAGTGGTGTAAAGATTTGCCTATTTTTCGTAAGACAACTTTTTCTCTCTACGCAACAGTGTGTTTTATTTACTGTAGAAAAATCACTGCTGCGATCGATTAGTTTTTTTTTCATAACCACTAGTCTATCAAGGTGCAAAAAGTATTATGGATTTTGCGCCCCCCCCCCCTCTCCCGGAAAAAAAAGCCTGGAAGAAACACTGGTTAAAAAGCGCCCCGACCTTTTCACCAACGCGAATACTTATATATAGGTCTAATTTGAAGATGGGGCGCAAAATTGATAGTTCGTCCTGGTCACCTTTGTATATAGATAATGTAATCTAATCAAAGTGATAAATTATTAGGTACTTTTTAATAATTGTGATTTCACATTTTTGCGCCCCCTACGGACAGCGCCCTAGGCGACGGCCTAGTTAGCCTTATAGGTAGCGCCGGCCCTGACCTCACCCCACTAACCACACTAACCCAAACTTCACCCCACTAACCCAAACCTCACCCCACTAACCCAAACTTCACCCCACTAACCCAAACCTAACACCACTAACCCAAACTTCACCCCACTAACCCAAACCTCACACCACTAACCCAAACCTCACCCCACTAACCCAAACCTCACCCCATTAACCAAAATCTCACCCCACTAACCCCACATTCAAGCAACTCACCAAACACAACACGCGAAGAAGATCAATACCCTACACCACCTCAATCCACACCTTAACCCACACCACACCTCAACCCACACCACCTCTCCACACCTAAACCCACACCACCTCACTACACACCTTAACACACACACCTCACTACATAACTTAACCCACACCACACCTCAACCCACACCACCTCTCCACACCTAAACCCACACCACACCTTAACCCACACCACCTCTCCACACCTTAACCCACACACCTCACTCCACACTTTAACCCACACCACAACCCACACCACCTCAATCCACACCTTAACCCACACCACCTCTCCACACCTTAACCCACACCACAACCCACACCACCTCTCCACACCTTAACCCACACACCTCACTCCACACTTTAACCCACACCTTAACCCACACCACCTCTCCACACTTTAACCCACACCACCTCACTCCACACTTTAACCCACACCACACCTTAACCCACACCACCTCTCCACACCTTAACCCACACCACCTTACTCCACACCTTAACCCACACCACCTTACTCCACACCACCTTACTCCACACCTTAACCCACACCACCTTACTCCACACCTTAACCCACACCACCTTACTCCACACCACCTTACTCCACACCTTAACCCACACCACCTCACTCCACACCTTAACACACACACCTCACACCATACCTTAACCCACACCACCTCTCCACACCTTAACCCACACCATACCTTAACCCATACCACCTCTCCACACCTTAACCCTAACCCTAACCCTAAACCTTACTCCACACCTTAACCCACACCACCTTACTCCACACCTTAACCCACACCACCTCACTACACACCTTTACCCATACGACCTCACAAAGTATGACATTCCAGATTTTTGAACATTGCCAATCACATTATACGCATTTTCAATCAATTTTTTAAATGTTAGTGTATTATCTATAATAATAGTTTCGCTGTCTGTCTATCTATCTATCTGTCTATCTATCTATCTATCTATCTATCTGACAAGAACGCTGTAGAGAAAACACAAGCAAAATAAAAACATGCACAGTAATTCGAAAAACGAAGTATGACGCGGTCACATTTAGCATAGAGTAGAAAATAATCTCAAACCAGAGAGTGCACACAGTAATATGACGTCATT